GGCGGGTGGGCGGGCGGTGACCGGCAGGCCCTGCACCTGACTCGGGTCATGGGAAACGGCCGAGTCACTTTGACCACTTCCGAGCGTGGCTTCCGCTTTCAGGTACGCACTGTGCTCTGTCCAGCCTGGGACCAGACCGAAAGTGCCGCCGGGGCCGAGCCTCTCGGAAGCCTGGAGGAAGGGGCGGCGCTTCCTTGCGGCACTAATAGATGCAGAGCCCAAATTCACCCCCTGAAGCCGCGGGACATAAGGGGGTGTCCAGGGAAAAAGCAGCCCATCACGAAGTAAAGGGGGTTGGGGTAGTGGGTATATGTCTTTGGGTTTCAGAAAACGTTTAATTTACAGATACTTTAGAGAAAGAAAGAAAGCTAACACGATATGGCTAGCAAAGTTCAGAATTAATCATCTTTCAACTGGAGATCTCCTTTTGCTTCCAAGTGCCCTGGCTACTGGAGAACTGTGTGTATGTGTAGACAGATGACTAATGTGAATCATTTTTATACACAGGTATACTAAGTTTAAATTATCTTCTACCCGTAACTTCATGCACTTCTCAATAAAATAGTTAATAAGCGAAGAAGTTAAATTGTTATGAACATTATTGCCTTATTTCTCAAGGCTAGTTATTTATATTGGAAAGTAAATAAACTTCTCTCCTCTCCTATGTATGTTTGATATTTTGATAACAATTCTTCAAATGTCTAGAAAAAATGGTCTGCGAAACATAATCTAAAAGATAGAAGATAATATGGAGTACAATGAAGACGGGAATATTTGGGAATATGTGGGGGAGGGGAATTGTGAAATATTAGAAACTAGATTCATATCTTGAGTTTTGTTTATATGATGAATAAGTCCATTGTTTTGGTTTGTTTTGAACTTTCTTGTTGAGGTGAGTTGCTGAATGTCAAGTAGACACAAGTGGGAACCTAACTGATAGCTTGTTCCCATCTAGTTTGTCAAAACATTTTTGGCTCTTTCTGAGACTGCTTTTAGGTGGACTCTTTGGTCTCCCTGTTGTTGTGGGGCTTGGGAGTCCAGGGTACAACTGTGAAAGGAATTCGTGGCTTTGGGTGATAGCTGAAGGTCACTGGGGACAAACTATAAAAAATTCTTAGCAACCGACTAGCCGTAGTCCATGACAGAGGTGGGCCTCCTTGATGCTTGGTCTTAGCAATACACTTGAGCAATGTCCAATGTCCAAACTAGTATGGCCTTCTGAACTGTACCAAGCAGGACCTGCTCCTGGTGGATGTTTCCTAAACTGCTCATATTAATCCTAAGGTTGACCCTGTGTGCTGGGTATTGCTGTTCCCATTTTTTCAGTTGGACCTGCAACTGGGAGGCTACTAGCACCTCACTAGTAAGTAGCAGGGTGCCTCTCAGGTGTCTGAATTTAGTCTAAGGCACTTTCCCCATATCTCTGCTGGCTCTCACCGGGATTGGAACTCATTTGGGATGTTTCTTTAGCTTACTCTACTGACACTTCTTATTTAATCCTTGCATCGACACAGAGCTCTCTTCAAAAAAATTGTTTTTGGTTTATCAACAGTAGAACTATCCCAACAGCCAAGTGGATTGTGAGAAAACAGAATCAAGTTCCCTATCTCTAAGATATTTCAGGTATAGCAATAGAAACGATTATGAAAGTCTTAGGAAAACTTTTTGGAGCATATGATTCTTGTCTTTTCCTTTGTGACTCTTAGTGAAGACAGGCATGCCTAGGAGCCATTGGCTTTCAACATCTGACCCTTTTCAGTCGCAATACAGTTGAGAAAGCTAAATGTAACAAGAGTAGGGTAGATTTCTGTGAATCGCTGCCGGGTTGTCCCAGAGAATGATTAAGTATCAGTTGAGTTTAGAGGAACGCTGTCACAGAATTGCTCAGTTGCGGAGTAGACCATAAAATAGGTGGTTTACAGTGGCGTGCTGGAGTTAGCTTGTGCTGGCAACCATTAAGTTTTCAGGAATTTTGCCACCCATTGGCAGCTTGAAATCAGCCATGGTCGTAGCATTTACAACACGGAAATCATCAAATGCTGTAAATAGGGATTTTTTTCCTTTCCTTCCTCTCCAGTGCATTTACCAGCCCCCTACTGGATTTACATTAGAATTTGACTTTATAGTTCTTGGAGATAGGAGAGGGTATTTCTCTGTCTTTTAGTAGACTGCTAAAATCAGTCACTCCTATCCTATCTGTTGCCATCTCCCCTTCCCAAACCTTTGCCACCTGACTTTGTAAAAATTTCAGAACTCAATGCCAAATCCCAATGGGCTTTTATTTTTCTCTGTACTTATCTTTCTTGGGTCCTTTTCAGTGTTTGACACTCTAAAGATAGCTATTCCTTTTTGAAACTCTTATCAGACATTCTAGTGCTCAAAACATTTTGCTGCTTGTCTTACCTGAGACGAGTAGTCACTCTTATTAGGTTCTCTTTTTATTCCCCCATTCTCTGAATATAGTCATTCTATCTTCATCCTCGTCTTGTTTACTCACACTCCTTGACATGTCTTGTCTGTGGGGAGAACAATTCTCATCCTCACTGTGGAGTCCTCTTCAGTAGTCTAGTGATTTTTCTAACTTTGTGCCAAATGTTTGCACCTGATTCCTCAAATGTAAAATGTCCAGGCCAGGATCTTACTTGCACCCTCCTTCCCCTGAACTAAACATTATGAAAGCTCAGTTCTTTCCCTTGTCTTCCCTATTTTTATTAGGACACTTTTATCAGGGTCCTTTTGGTCACCCAGATTCAGAACTGCGGTGTGATCTCTCAACTCCCCTCTTCCCTCTTCATTGCCCCAAATACCAAATCTGTTGCCAAGTCCGATAGATTATAAGAACAATGTCACTTTTCTATTCCCACTGTCACCTGGGAGCCACCTGGTTCAGTCTTACCTTATTCTCTTTTCTGGATTATTGCAGACTTTAGTAACTGATTTGGTTCCTATGCTCTTGACATAGCTTATTTCATTAGTTGCTTTTATATTCTCAAGAGACACCATCTTTTTTGTAGCACAGCTACCCACAGTGGCTTTATTATATGTCCTCGCCTGACTTTAAAGCCCTTTGCAGACAGTGTGGCTGCCATCTATCTTTGGATCATATTTCCTGTCTGTGCACCGGACTGCCAAGCTGTGTCTTTCATCCCTTATTAAACATTTTTCTTGCTCACTTCCATTTCCCCATGGCTTGGTTCACGTTGTTTTCTTGGACCCAAAAAACAGATTGTGATTTCCCTTCTTCAAGGTTGTTGGTATTTTTCCAAATGTTCTTTATGGCATTTATACCATTTTTGTAGTATAGTTATTTGTATATTTCTTTTGTCAGCCCATTGAGGAAAAAGACTTTGTTTTGCACAAATGTCTGGTAGAGCCTAAAGGAGGTTTATAAATAGTAAGCTTCAATAAATTTTTATTGAATTAAATAACTTCCATTATGTAAATTTATGCTGGCACAAACATTAAGATAAAAAACCTAGTAGTCGACTATATATTTTGCAGCTGTGTGACTTAAATTTTTCATCCTAAGATATTCAAAAGACATCAAAAGATATATTCATAAGAATTCAAAGTTTGAATTTGACTAGGCCAACAATTAGGATCATGAATTTAAATTATATTGGGGAGCTTGGAAATATGATTCTCCTTCTTGACCTTGGATGGGCCAACCCATGCTTCACTGTTTTGCCTGTTCTCCAAGATGACAATCATAGACTTAACAAATAGATTTCAGTCCTGTGACAACTTAACAAAAGATTATATAGTCCTAGGGATGGTCCATAAAAACAACACAGGATAATACATTTCAGAATTATAGATATCTCTGAATGAGACCTTAAAGATTTGACTTATTTATGATAGCAGTTCAGAAACATATGTTAGGTTTTTAGTCTAACCTCATGGTTCTATAATTCCTCACTACTGACTGTGAATCATAAAAAAATTACATGGAAAGATAATTTTATTAAAAAATGTTATTCAGTTTGAATGGGATTTTTAGTTTAGTTTTTTTTGGTTTTTTAGTTTAGTTTTTTTTGTTTTTGTTTTTTTCAATCTAGTGGATGAAACATTTTAGAACTAACACAAAATGTCACTTGGATTTGTTAGCAATTTAAATTATGACTTAAATCTAAAATTACACATGAAGCTTTAAGTATGTTTGATGCTGTGTCTGACTCCAGAATGCTTTGTTTACTGTGTGAGAGAAGGTAGGAAACAATTGGAGAAAAAAATATTTCTAGCACATGGCTATGTCTAAAACATCAATTCTCCAAATCTGGGTCTTTAAAAGTTACAGGCTAGAAATTAAAAAAAAAAAAAAAAAAGTTACAAGAATGTTAAGTAATTAAGTTACAAGAGTGTTAAAGTATATTAGAGGGCCTGTGTTGTCATTGATCTAATAATAGTTAGTGATAATTTGAATCACCTAAGTATCATTTAAAATAAATGGCATGTTAATCACTTTAAATTAGGGTCATATGAGACATACTCTTTTTTTTTTTTTTCTCTTTTCCAAGAATAGGGTTTAGGAAGTCAGTTCCCAGGAAAGAAGGCTTTTATTTGCCCAAGTGTTATAATGTCTAGTTAGGAAGTTCAATCATTCATTGATTGAGGAATTATTTCAGAGTAATGTACCTCTAAGTAGTTTGAATATTTATAATAAAAATTAAAACCTCATAGTTCTCTAAATGAGATAGAATACTGTGCTTAGGGTAGCTTATAGAGAGCAGTAATAAATACAATTTCTCTCTCTTGACAGTACCAGTATAGATATGGAGGCTATTCTAAACAAAATTGTAATATAATGAAATCCCCTTTACTTATAACCTAATTAGAAATGTTAAGTGGCCAAGAGTGTGTGGAAATTGGCCAGATTTCTTATATTTTCTTCAGAATACTTTGAAACCTCTTTCACTATTTCACAATATTTATAGATTGTGCAATTCAGGTTTAGTAATACTATAGATAGTCAAGTGTCTTAGAGAACAAAACAAATTACCAGAAAACTTAAATGTTGATGGTACAGGACATAAGCACAATGTTAAGAATATATATGTATATATATATTTTTTAAAAGGTCAGGTAGAAAGTTTAGGGGAAAAAAATTCAGTATTTTCTCTAAAACTCAGAATACTTAAAATCAGATTCTTAAGTTAATAAACTCTATTAATATGTCAAGCACATCTTTTTTGGCTTTCCTTAGAATTGCCACATCCAGTGTAGTCTTTTAAAGCTTTTCTTGCTCAGAAGCTGGCTCACTAGACAGATCCTTCCTCTGTACTTA